GGTAGGCAAGAGAGTTATTTAAAACTTTTTATTGTTGATCTTCAGATTTATTATATTTGCTTACTGGGTGCGTTGTCCTCGTTTTCTCATGCTTAAAATTTCTTAAAGTTCTGTTTGTTTTTAATGCGTAATCACTTTTAAAGTTCATCGTTGCTTTAATATGTCTCGATTAAAAATATCTCATGCTTTAAGTATTTCTCTCTCACTCTTGATGAGCTGTCTATGAAATGAACCTTATCAGCTCAATTTTTTCACGTCTTTTACAGCATTTATTTCTGAAATCTGGGTAAAATTGAAGTCTTGGCATGTACATGTGACTAGAAATTCCCCCTTGTGTGAAAGAGTTATGTTTTTAGCTTAAAAAGAACAGAAGAAACTTCAATTCACAAACCTCTTTTATTTTTTCCTTTTTGTTTGGTAGATCACAATTTGTGATATTCTTTTAGGTTTTAGAAACAAGTGAATTTGTTTATACTGAAAAGAAATCTGATTATATGAAAAGTATACCAGTGTCTCTGATGAAGGAAAGATGTCATGAAGATTGCTTTAAAAAAGTATCAAGTGTTAGAATCCTTTCATGTCTACAGAGGGAGAATGATAGGCTTTGACTAAGATATTTTAAATTAATTTCTGTGCTTTTATAAATTCCTAAACCAAAATTAGTTAAAAGCAAATTAAACTGGAGAGCACTGAACTTGGAAAAGCCAATTTGAACATTAAAATGTATTTATCATATTGCATCATCTTGTTTTGCTTTATAGCTGGCACTTAATAAAGAAATTTATAAATTTTTTAATGGATTTACATAGAACTATGCTTATTTATAAATTATGTACCTTAGTTTTAATATAAAAATTCTCTTAAGGAAACTCCATATAATCTTTGTTAATTAAACTTTCAAGTTTGGAAACAGCTTTGTTATAAAGTAAATAGTGCTGTACACTACTTGTAGAAGCTTAAAAAAAAGCTTTTATGAAGCTTTTAAAAAACAAAGGTGATAATAGATGACTGCTTTTAATTGTACTGTAATTTAGATTATTACTTAATTTTGCCTTTTTAGCTCTTGGATACTTTAAATTTTACGTAATTTTATTTTCTTTCATTGGCAGTTCCTCTCGGTTCTCATTCCTAAAAATAACTGAAATTGACCATTTGTCACCACCTCTATGCAACTGTTTATTTAGGGCCTTGTCATATTTCATCTTCATGTATACTCTCTGCAGCCTGTTGCTGGATTTGCTGCTTCCACTTTTTCCTCTATGCAGTCTTTTCCCTACACAGCAAAAAGAATGATCTTCATAAAACCTGTACTTCTCAGCCCAGAGCCCTTAAATGGCTTCTCATCTCAAAGGACTCCCTTCATAGCTGGCCTGTGGCTGCTTCTCTCATCTCATCTCCTAGCACTCTTTCTTCACTGTGCTCTGAACACAGGGCTTTCTTACTGTCTACCTTAAACATTTTAGGAACACTCATACCTCACTTCCTATCTTCCTCCTAGGACTCCTCCTCTTCTAGATATTTGAATGAGTTATTCCCACACTCTATCCAAGATTTTGCTAAAATATATCTTATCAGAAATCCTGTTTCCTCACTTGCAGAGCAATCTAAATACATAATTGTGGATTTTTATGTGTTTTTCTCATCTTCAACTATTTTTTTTATTCAGGCCTAGTTTGTCAGCAGATATTTTTAGCAACTTGTCTTATTGAATTCTTTCAAGACAAACTAATTTTACAGAAACAAAATCTTTTTTGTATTGGTAAAAATCATTGCCTTATATAATATCTTACTAATTCTCATAATTATAATGACTGATACAGTTGGCATAAATGCTTTGGGAATAAACATATCTGATAGATGATAAAGCTAAAACTTAACTGGTACAACGTATAGGCTTCATTCAAGAGTTGTCTAACAGACTCAACCTACAGACCACTGTGGACACAGTCAGAATATATTACAGAAGTGGAAAGCCTTTGTTAATCATCTGGGGAGCTGATCAAATAGATCTCAGTTAAAAGAGTTTGATTTTTAATTAAAAACAAACTGAAATAAATTTAGCACGATTATATAAAACAACTCTTCTATATTATTCTGATTTTATTGTTGGGTTAGTTCATCTTGAAAATACATTGTATAATTATTATAATAGACCATGTAAAGTTAACTCCCAAGAATGGGAATAAATGACTCCTAGAGAATTGTAGCTTTTCATAATATATATTGTAACAAATACATCTAATGAATAATTCTGGAAATGGATGAAAGTGATGGTTATACAACATTGTGGATATGCCTAATGCCACTGAATTGTACTTTTAAAAATTATGATAAGGTTTAAGTTATGTATATTTTGCCACAATAAATATAAAACCTAAAAATAAATTTATACTTATATTCTTTTAACATAAAGAAAACCTGTGACAGTATAACTGTATAGTATAGAAGAAAAAATAATCCATGGACTTAGAAGACTTGTATTTATATAATACTAATTATGCCATGAATATATTGGCTACATTTTGGCAAGTCTTTCACATTTTCTTAGTTGTAGTTTTCTTATATTTAATATGAATGTACTTCTCAGTTCTGTTTTATGAAGAACAAATGAGGACTTTAAACTGTAAATCAGTTTATAGATTGTAGGTATAACTTTTCATATTTTCAGAATAATTAATTGAAGTGACTATTGGTATTGGGTAAGACTTGGCTTGAGGCATTTGCTGTTGAAGTTTTTAAAATATTTAAGCTGCATATTTTGAATTTTGGGTTTTTTTTTTTTTTTTTTGCATGAAAATACAGCTATTTTTTTCCCCAGGTTGTGATTGAGAATGAAATGTTTATCTTATGTTTGGAGAGTCTCATTGGGCAGTATTCAGTTTTCAGGGTTTCTGTTATTGGTCTCTTTTCCTAACAAGCCCTCATCATAATGTCTGAAAAGAAACCCCCTAAGCCAAGATAGATTTTGGATAACTTAGCTTCTCCTTTCTTTTTTGAAGTCACTTTTTTTTTTTTTACTTTTACAAAAAAAAAAAAAAAAGGAACGACCAGTAGATTGGGTAAGGTACAATGATAAAGTCATAAATCAGAATTAAATAATAGAAAATTATTATTTTGAACAATGATTAAATTGATTTTCTGATGGTTCACCTTTAGTGAACTAAAAGATTGTTTTTCTCTCTAAGAAAACAATGAGGAACTTAGAAAATTTGGAGGAACTTAGTTAATGTAAGAGCTATTTTGCAAAAATACAGAATGTGGGAAAATGATCACTAGACAGCTCACTTTAGAAAGAAGCACTTTTAATAATCCTATAACAAGAAAATAAGAATTTGAAGAGGAAACAGTGTATATTAAGTGAAATACATATTGAGTGTTCTCTTTTGATCTTGACAAAGAACTCTGTGACTTAAGATACAATGTATAATACTAAAAAGATCTTAGTCTTAGAATTCACTATTTTAAACATCTTCCATTACTTAAAAAGTATGTATTGACTATGATTGAGTAGATGTGCCCTGTGTTCAGTTTCAAGTGGTTATTTTTTCCCTTAGTTGTACTATTTCTCCTATTTGCCCCAGAATTACTGTAAATAGATGTCTGGCCCATTGATGTATTTTAAAATTTTAAATTTGAGTGCCTTTAGACAGCATACTCAATCTTCTGTTTACCATGGTTTCTACCATTTTTGTGCTCTCAGCCTTTCCACACTAATTTCACTTACGTGAAATATCTGTGTTCTGGAGACATACGTAACTCTTACTGAACCTTTACATAACAGGCAAAAGGCAAACATTAAAAGCAAAATGATAGTTCTTGTCTAACTCATGCCTACAAAATGCTTACCTTTCTCTATTATGCTTAGTGAGGGGATTCCTGCAAGACTTGGGTGGGCAAGTCTGAAATCAGTGATCTTTAAATTATCGCAGTGCATTGTGTCATCTCCTATTTTTACAAGTTTCTAATTTTTCAAGTGCTGTCAAGTCTGTTATAATATATTGTGCATAAAGGACTACTAAATTTCCAAGTAAGTCAGTCTGACAGAGAGTAAAGACTGCTAGTTTTATTCTAGGTATTCTGCATGTTTTTTGAATTGATATTTATTGGAAGGGATACATTTCTTGGAGACTTCTTTCGGGGAAGGGTCTATTATTACTACACTAATATTTCCAATTATATTTAAAAGAATGTTCTCAAAATGTGATGGTTGAGCTGCTTCTGTTATAATAGAACTTAAAAATAAATCCTGGAAATCATTACAGAATTTGAAATGAAAAACTGAACCATCCAGATACCACTGTTTAAATTTGCTGTGTTTGCATTCTCTTTCGTACTCTGCTTTATTTTTCTTCATCAGACTTTTCACTACCTAACATTGTATATTTGTTTCTCTGTTTGTCTCTTCCTACTATATAAAACCATGAGATTAGGGGCTTATTTCTGTTTACTCTTTTACTTACCTGCTTAAAACAATGTCTGACACATAATGAGAAACTTACTAAGTATTTGGTGTGTAAGTATGTAAAATCCTTCTCATCTGACTTTAGTATGTTCTCCTTTGGGGACTGTCCTATCCATTTTATCTTCAGTGGTCCTTTAGCTTAATATTTCTGAAACACGTCCTGATGTAACTTACCTTACTCTTAAGCCTTCCGTTGCTCACAGAATGTCATAAGTCCTTAAGTATCTCTCACTTTATCTTACTACATTGCTATTTGTTGTCTCTTTAATTAGACCTCTGAACTTCTTGAAAAACTATGTTGTCTTCATCTCCTTATCTACCTAACATAGTATCTGAAGGTGCTTAAGAAATGTTTGTAGAATGAAGAAGTAATATATTTACATAGGAAAAAAGTCTCAAGTCCAGAGGCGGTGTGATACATGTTGATTATTATGCTGCAAGTTAGCCATAAAGGTGGACTCCCTCAGTCCAGTGTTCTACCATTAATAAGAATGAATTTCAGTTTTTAACAGAAAGTATCTTGTTTCTTCACTTGCAGATATTGATGATGTTAAGAAGTACAAACCAGGTTACTTGGAAGCTACGCTTAATTGGTTTAGATTTTATAAGGTGCCAGAAGGAAAACCAGAAAACCAGTTTGCTTTCAATGGAGAATTCAAAAACAAGGTAAAGATAATGATCTTTATTATAAAACGTACCTTGTGATGATTCTTTGATACTTCTTTAGGTTTGCGAGGCTTTCTTAAGTGAATATTTGTATATAACATAACAAAAGTGCTTTATATGACTCTAATGACATTATTTTACCTTGTGGTGCTTGTATGATACTTGAAGTTTGTGAGAGTTTCTTATGTGAGTATTTGTATATAACATGGTAACAAAAGTGCTCTATACTGACTAATATTTAAGGGCATTATTTTATCATATTTATTTAAAAGGATTTTTTTTTCAGGAGATGTAAGTGAATCAGTAACACTTGATACATATGTGTATTCATCTCTTTATTGATAACTCCTTCATCTCAGAAAATGAAGGATTTCTATTATCAGTCTAACTGCAAATTGTGTATGAAGAAGAAGAACCTTCCGTTTACTATTCTGGACAGGAGAAAGTTACTTACCATAATGTAAATCCAAAGAGGGCTTCCCCCTTAAGTGTACATTCTACCATTTCTGACTTAAGCTGTTTAACAATTAGGAAAGCACTTGAATTATGTTACTGTCATAGGATTTTTCTATTAGAATACTACAAAATTACCATGAAGTGTTCTAATGTGACACAAATGGAGAAAATGGGCCAAAGACATCAAGTCTAAGGCATAGAATATTTTTTTTTTAAAGATTTTATTTATTCATGATAGAGACACAGAAAGAGAGAGGGGCAGAGACACAGGCAGAGGGAGAAGCAGGCTCCATGCAGGGAGCCCGACATGGGACTTGATCCCGGGTCTCCAGGATTATGCCCTGGGCCAAAGGCAGGCGCTAAACCACTGAGCCACCCAGGGATCCCCGACATAGAATATTTTTTAAAAAATTATCACCACTATATAAATTACATTATGTATACCCCAACATTTAAGTGGGTACTCGTAAGTAATACATGTTTTGTAAGTAAAATGAGCCATGTTAATGGAAACTTACAAATTATAATAAATATTTTGCTATATAAGAATTTATTGCTTGACTTAGTATTTTTGAAAAGGCACATTAAAAGAAGCCTTAAGATTTTGAGGGGTTTGTCTAAGATTTATTCAATGTGGTTATAAAACTCTTATTTTCAATTGGATACTCTTACTTAAAAGTAAAATATTGAAAATTTATAAGATAAATTGTATTTTTATCTTTTTTTCCTGTAAAAAATGTTGTATTTTGTATTTGAGCTCTTTCTGCCTCAGGATATGATTGCTAAATCATGAATTTATAGAGTCAGGTGGTTTAGGAGTTGATGGGTTTTGGTGTTTTGTTTTGTTTTGTTTGCTTGGTTTTGATAAATATTAATTCTTTCTGAATGAAGACTAGATCATTTATACAACCTAATTTTTAGAGCATAATCATCTTATGCATTGGTTTTTACCACTTCTGTTTAAAATACTGTGCCTATCTCAGGAAAATTAAGTTGTATCTTTTCACCATCTTTGAAAAGATGATTCCTGTGCTATCTAGATTTTTCCTCCTGACCTCTTTAAGCAAGTACTGGGAAAGTGATTCTAAATAATCATATTTATCTGAATGATTTGGTTAAAAATATTTTCTTATATTATCTGGACAATATTGTCTTTTTTATCCCACATCTTGGCTGGGACTCCCCAACATGACCTCACTGAGCCATACTTGTTCATCTCCAGCAACTAGAGAGCTGAGAGAGCTTTTTTTTCAGCAGTAAATTTCTCATTATTATTACATCTTGGTTCCTTTGGAACCAAGGATTTTCTTCACTTCTTAGCATGTGTTGTCAATTAAGGAGAAAGGAGGTAGTATGAATTAGTTAATATATAAAGGACTCTTATTAAGGAAAATTAGAAAATTAGCAATCTTTGGAGGTAAAAAAACAAAAGAATATACTGCTTTAATAAGTGTTCCTTTAGACACACTTAAGAGGTATATATTGTTGATTTTGCATTTGGGGACATTATATGAATTTATACCAAGAAAATATTTGAGAATGATAAATGCCTTTAGACAGTGGATACTCTAAAATGACTATGCAGTTAGATTGCAGTTTTGATGATGATGAAATTAATAGGTTTATGCTTACTTACAGGCAAGGGACTAGCCTAAGCACTTTGCATACAGATTATCCTTTCAAGAGCTGGATAATTTATTTATTTATTTTAAAGATTTTGTTTATTCATGAGAGACACAGTGAGAGAGGCAGAGACATAGGCAGAGGGAGAAGCAGGCTCCTCGAGGGGAGCCCCATATAGGACTCAATCCCAGGACTCTGGAGCCATACCCTGAGCTGAAGGCAGACGCTTCACCACCCAGACATCCCTCAACCGCTGGATAACTTAAATCAGGTGTTGGCAACTTTTTCTGTAAAGTACTAGATAGTAAATATTTTAGACTTTGTAGGCCATATGGTCTCTGTCACAACTACTCACCTCTGCCATTATAGTGCTAAAGCAGTCATAGGCTGTGCACAAATGAGTGGGCATGATTGTGTTCAGTGAACTTTATTTACAAAAATTGGTGGTGAGTTAGATTTGGCCTACAGGCCCTAGTTTGACAATCCCAACTATAAATTATCTTCATTACCTTCCATTTGTAGATAAAGAAGTTAAGACTTAGGGAGATTAAGTAATTTGCTCAAAAGTAACAGCTGGTAAATAAGGGTGCCAGAATTTATACTCAGGTTTGCCTGACTCCAGAGCTCATGTTCTTAAAAATAAGGTGTCATAGTGAGAATAGTTCCATGTTAGTATAATGATGTGATCTTTATGTCCGTTTTTGGTTTGGAACTAGGCTTTTGCTCTTGATGTTATTAAATCTACTCATGAATGCTGGAAAGCATTGCTTATGAAGAAGTGTGATGGAGGAGCTATAAAGTGGTAAGAATTTGTCTTTTCTATGTGATGTTACTTTGTTATTAATGCCACTAGACAGCCGTATTACACTAGTCAGATCTGATTTTTTTAAAAAGAGAATTGCAGTTTTTTTTTCCGTTAAAAAAAAAATACAGAGTACAAATATGGAAAGTAATACCAAGTGCTGCACACTATGAAACTAGGAATTGGCATTGTCCCGTTTCCCAAGGGATTTATAGTTTAGTAGGGGATACTGTTGAGTAAAAAGACATTTTAATTATAATACACTGTGATATGTGCAAAGATGGAGTAGAAAAATTAGCATTTTTAAATATGCTATATGTAAACATAGTTATTTTAATTATGTGTAACTACCACTTCATTTCTTAACAAAATAGTAATAAACCTTTTTTTCCAACATGATATGGATCACTAGCTGATTAATGAAAGGGAGTCAAATGATAGTAACATATACGCAAACATTTTATTCTCTTTTAAAACCATTAAGTATATATTTATTTACCCTTTGGATAAGGCCTTATCTATATAGTTTCCAAATAAATTGTATATATTCTAACATAATATAGAATAGAAAACCAAGATAAGATCATCTAATCCTTAAACTCTTATAGTTAAACCCTTACAGATTTTTAGGTTCTTTTTTCTAAACTTTCTTTACAGTTATCTTAAGCCACACCTACTTTGACACCAAGTTATTATAGTCACCTTTATCGAGGTTTTTTTTTTTTAGCCTTAGTAGTTTTACAGCCTACTTAGTGTTCATAGAATCTGTTCTCTTTCCACACTCCCTTCTTTGATGAGCATAATTACTGCTTAAATTATGAAAGTAACAAGGGCAACTCACTTAAACAGGTTTAGAAACAAAAACGATGAACTCCTGGTAAGCCTAACTATAGGAAGCAAATATTCTTAGTCATTCTGTAGAGTACTACCCAACTTCATTGTCGTCTTCTCTGAATCAGGAGAAATTGGGAAGCTATTCACTCTTCAACAAATACTGATTCGAGAGTCTGTTGCCAGTCACTGTACTGATACTAGGATTATTGCTGTGACTACAATAAATAGAGTCTCTGCCCTTTTGGAACATGAAGTCTGGGAATCAAGAGAGACATTAAAGAAATCATTAGAATAGGGATGCCAGGGTAGCTCAGTTAAGTGTTCAGCTCTTGATTTCAACTCAGCTCATGATTTGAGGGTTGTGAGACTGAGCCCTGCTTGGGGTTCTACACTGAGCGCAGTGTCTGCTTGAGATTCTCTGTCTCCCTCTCCTTTTGCCTCTCCCTGCCTCTACTCACACACTTGCTCTGTCTTTCCAATAAATGAATGAATGAATGAATGAATGAATGAATGAATGAATGAATGAATAATAGAATAACCAGGCAAATAGTCTCAAGAAATAATATATCCATGTCACTGAGATGTTAATCTTGTCTACACATAAATGTTTAGTCATTATACCTTCAGATTCTGTTCCGTTGTAAGCTCAAGTAACACTGTCAACTCATTGATCTTCTTTCTTCTTACTGCTTATGTAGACCACTGTTTCTTTCAGCATAATCTTAAAATTTAGGTGATTGTTTCTAATTTAAGTAATACAATTTATTAACAACAAAACTTGAGTATAACTGAATACCTTCTAATTCTGACTATCCTAGAAATTAGTAGACCTAGCTATTCTTTATGATATTCTAAGATATTCTAAGTCAAATATTCATGTGGTCCTAGGATTGACTCCCACATCAGGTTCCCTACCGGGAGCCTGCTTCTCCCTCTGCCAATGTCTCTGCCTCACTCTCTGTATCTCTCATGAATAAATAAAATCTTAAAAAAAAAAGAAAGAAATCAGAAATGTACTGTTCATTTTGCCAGTTTCACTAACCATTTATTATTCTGACCCATTTATTTTCCAAGTTTTTCACGTTTTCAATGATTCTCAGAAGCCCCTGTAGAATATTTGAGGTTTTTAGCTCAATTTTTAATTCAGTATTACTTCAGTTTTACTTTAATTCAGTTACTGTCATTTATTTACTCAGAAGTTGTTTTATATTGCAGTTTCTTTCTTGTTTAATATACTCTAGTACTGTCAGAAGTATCTTCGAAAAATACAAATGTGATTATCATGTTTTTGGCTTAAAAACTCCTTGTAGCTCCCTTTGATCATAGGATATAATCCAGGTCTTTTGTATATTAAACAGCATGTCCAGACCTACTTTTCCAGCCTCCTGTTCTGTCCTCTCTTCTCTCATTGTCTTCTCTTCATGAATGCCTGTTCATTCTTCAAGAAGCAGTTGTGGGTTTTTTTTTTTTTTTAAGATTTTATTTATTGATTGAGAGAGTGATTGAGAAAGAGAGAGAGAGAACATAAGTGGAGGGAGGAAAGGGCAGAAGGAGAAGCAGACTACCCACTGAACAGGGAGCTCAATCCCAGGACCCCTGGGATTATGACCTGAGCTGAAGGTAGACGCTTAAACGACTGAGCCACCCAGGTGCCTGAAGAAGCAGTTTAATGGTACCTCTCCCAAGAATTTTTATTTCTTTTGGGCTGGATTACGTCTACTCTCATATCACTGCTGTGTAGAACCTGGGAGTGTTTTATTTATTTATTTTTTGATCTTGCTCTAAATTGAGTTTGTATCTGAGCACTTAGTGAAAGAACTTGACACATAGTTGGTAGTTGATACATGCTTACTGCATGACCAGATATATTACATATATAAAAATGTGTTCTTCCAAATTATTTAGGCCTTTAAGTTGTTTCTTTTTTACCTTTGTAGACGAAGGTGGACTTGATCTATGTATGGATAGCTCCAATTCTTTGAGCTTTCTATAGATTTACTTCCATGTCCGTATTTTTTCTATAAACTCTGGACGTTGTGATGCAAAATCATTGTCATTCTTATCTCTTTAAATTTTTCTTTCCTTTTTTTCTTGACTACTTTGCTTTAGAATGAAAAGCCTTGACAAATCTGTATCCTGAACACTGTCTTTGAAGAGCTTCATGAGTGTGAGCCTTTGTCTGATTTGAAATTGTTTTGAAGAAAATAATTTTCTCTTTACTAAAAAATTCCAATTACTAGCTTTGTAAATTTCATCTTGTATGTGTTTATTATTCATTTGCAGGCAGTTTTCTATTTCTGTATCTTTTTATTTAGTCACTTATTTTGCACTATTATATGTCTGTTAATATACCTTTTTATTATTATTATTTTTAAATGCAGTTTGGTTTGTCATCCATAGATCTTTGGTATTGCTGATCATCTAATGTCATGTCTGCTTATTTGGGTCAGCAAGATTGTGAATAGGGTATATAATGTTTATAAATTAAGAACAAAATATTTAGTATCTTACTATAAAATGGAAAGCAGAACATTCTCCTTTGTCCTGTTCTTAAATCTCATTTATAATAGACACCTTCACCTTAGTCATCCTTCCTTTAAATGATTACACTGCTTTTCATCTTACAGGCCATAATCATAGTTTAAGACTAAAAAGGACTCAAATATTAAAACCTCCATAGGGGCTCCCTGGTTCATTATTGTATTCCCATCATCAACAAATGTCCCTAACATTTAGTATAAGAATTGTTTGAATCATTAAATATGAATCAACTATTTTTACATAAGGGCCAATTTAGAGAAAATAAAAATGTTTCTTGATAACATGCCTTCAAACATTCAAAGTACCTTAAATCCTAAGATAAATATATTACAACCCAGATTGTATACTTTATTAACTAAAAGGATGTCAGTGAGGAAGTTGGCACTATTTTAAGCTAACAGAATGCTAGTGTAAGAGCCTATTAGAGAAATAGTATATAAGAGACTTTGTAATCTCTCATCTTTATATTGGTGTGTCTTGCAAGATTCTCTTAAGTCTATTTGTGTGTACCTTCCACTTCATTCTTGAAACAGCCATACTGATAATTTGTGCAAAGTGAGAATGGCAGAGCCTCTTGGCTTTCCTTGGTTCCATTGGTTACTTGTCAAGATATTTTACTGGAGATATTTAGAAGTTATTCAGAATTTTTAAAACCTAGTGTTGGCTTTAATATTGACTCTTTGTTGTAGGAGTAGAGGGTTACTTTAGAAATAGGTTATCAGATTTAACATAAAATACTGGATACCCAGTAAAATCTAAATTTCAGAGCAGTACATCCTATTAACATAAGTGTCTCATGCAATATTTGAGACATACTTAACTAAAAAATAGTTTGATCTTATTTGAAATTCAAATTTAATGTATTTTATCTGGCAGCACTATTCTAGAGAAGACTCCTATTCTCTTACCATAATTTTCCCAGAATTTCCAAGGTATGTTTTACTTTGGTTTAGTTATAACATTAAAAACATAGTGGAAAAAAAAAAGATAGTGCATAGTATAGTTAGCATATACCATGCTTTCTTCAGAGGACTAGCACTTAAGACTTCACAGTGTTTAATTCTCTGCCTTGTTCTTTTAAAATCTAGTTTTCATATTCTTTAGGGAAACATCTGACTTTTAAGGCCTTACCTTTTTGAGTTTTTAGCTTGCTTAGATATGAGCTGTTGAAAGAGAACACAAAATAGTCTTAAAGATAATGCCAACTTGCATCAAATTTTATTCATGCCAAGAATGAAAATAAATCCCACATTTTGAGTCTGGATAGAAAGCAGAACAGCCACTGTAATTGCTATATACCCAATGTCTGATTACAGACAGATGTAATTACAAAGATAAATAACTAGATAAATCTTATTATCAGTATATCCCAAAATATTTCACAAAAGCCATTATGAAAATGCATTTGATAATATATATCTCTTAGGTCCACTTGGAGGGCGTGTGTGTGTATGTGTGTATGTGTTTGTTTCATCTTCTCGATGGATTTGCTAATTACTTTTTCTTTGGCTTTGCCTCCCTTCTCTACTGCCTCTTTCTGTATCCAATTTTAATGTAATTTCTTTGATGAAATTTTTAAAAATCATTCATAATATTTCTGAGGAATGATGCCTCTGCTTCATCCAGGAAGTAGGAAATACACAATGGGCAACATACTTGTGGAGATAGCTTGCCATTCTCCATTGTGTTGGAAGGCTTTGACCATGGAAGGGGCTCCTGTCTTATGCCTCCCTGACCCTCCCTCCCCTTGAGAAAACTGAGTTTTCATGTTCACATGCTTTCCTCTCACCACTCTTAGCTTAGCCTTCCATACCTGAGAAAGAGATTTTGTAGCATCTTTCACTGTCCAATTACAGTGTATCACCTCACTTAGATGAAAATTCTTCCTTATAGTCATCGTTCCAGGGGTCAAATTTGGTTTTGCTTTTCCTCACTAAAGGTGAAGTGTAGTTGTGCTGTATAGTCTTTTATATATTGGGAGATTATATAGATTTGCATATTATTATTTAAATTTTTTAAAAATTCTAGAATGTGCATTGCTGTGGAGCACTATATTAACTGGAATTCTACGTTCAATGTTGTAATATTTGGAGTTGGTTTTTTTTTTTTTTTTTTTGGTAATTGTTTCTTTTTTATCCCAATTAATAACATTGTCCTTTCCTTTCCAGCACAAATGTGCATATATGTGACAGCCCTTTCCATTGTACTCAAGAGGAAGCAAGATCAATAGTTGAACTGGTAAGGGGCAAATATTTAAAGTATCCTTTAATCTTACAAACGTCATGGGGAACTCTGGCAGAAATTCTGAAAAATCTAGCAATGAAATAATATCAAGTCTTTTGGGAAGCATAGTTTTAAAAAAAGATTAGAATCTATTTTTTTTAAATCAGGGGATTTAAATAAAAAACTTGAGAATCTTTTAGTTGAACTTTTAAATTCTCTTTTCTAGAGTACATTAACCACATTGGGGCACCTGGATGGCTTAGTTGATGATTAAATGTCAGCTCTTGACTTTGGCTCAGGTCATGATCTCTCAGTTGTGGCTCTGTGCTCAGCAGGCAGTCTGCTTGAGATCTCTCTCTCTCTCTCTCTCTCTCCCTCCTTTCCTCCCTCCCTCCCTCCCTTCCTCCCTCCCTCCCTCTCTCTTTCTCTCTGCCTCTCTCTTTCTCTCAAATAAAAATTTTTAAAAAGGTAGATTAACCACTTAAATAATTTAATATGAAGCTCCTTTTCTTAATATCACTAATTTATTGTTTATATGCATTTTCTCTCCTTTACTGTCCTGTTGCCATGAGTGATCCAATATCCAGTGTCTAAATTGTGATTGGCTGCTGGTACGGGTGCATTTTGGCTCGAGAAAAGTGAAAGAAGACTATTTCTCCTTTTTTGTCCATTCAGTTGGGCTGTCTTGCAAGCTTTCCTTCTAGCTAAGATGAAATCCTTGGATTTTTACATATCTTAGTGATAAGGCTACCTGGAGGCAATAATCTATTAGGAAATTAATGCTTGATTTAGAGACCACTAAATAAGAAAATTCATATTCAGATAATCAGATACCATTGCTGTATAGTGTGTTCAGGAGCCATCTTAGGCTAGAAATCCCATTTATAAATTAACGTTTTTCTTTTTGATCTTAAACTAATTATGAGATCAAAACTGGTGAATTTAGATCTTTACTTCAGGGACAGTAAAAATGTTTACTCACTATGGCTGTTTTCAGTTTTTTTCCCCACTAATACATCAGCTGTTTAATTAGTATCTCCTATAGTAAAATTCTAGGTACTGAGGATGCAGAAAGAAAAGACAGGAAAAACCTCTGCCCGTATGTAATTAACATTCTAGTTGGGGAAATGGATAATAAATACACAGGTAAAATGTATACAGTTGACCCTGAACAATGCAGGGGGTTAAGAGTGCTGACCCTTCTAAATAGTTGGAAATCTATGTATAACTTTTGAGTCCCCAAAAACTTAACTAATAGCCTACTTTTGACCAGAAGTCTTACTGATAACATAATAGTTGCTTAATGCGTTTTGTATGTTATATGAATTATATTTTGTTATTATAATAAACTAGAGAAAAGAAAATGTTAACTAAGAAAATTATAAGGAGAATACATTTATGGTATTATACTGTAGTTATTTTTTAAAAATCCACATATAAATCGACTTGCACAATTCAAACCCCTATTATGTAATATATCTGAATACAAGAAGTGCTATTATGGAAAATGAGTAGGGCAGAGGGGATAAAGTGCCAGGAGTGGGATTATAGAGGTAGTTACTAAAAAGGAAGTCAGGGGCAGCCTCACTAGGAGAAGACTGACATGAGTCAAGATTTGTAGAAGGTAAGATTATTAGCCAAGTGACCATCTGAAGGAAGAGCATCCCAGGCCACAATCCTAGAGGCCATGAGACAAGAGGATGCCTGACACGTTCAAGAAATAACCCAAGAACCACAGTAATTGGTGGTATAAAGAGAGTCTAGAAGGGGACGGAAGGAGGTGAGATAGAAATGTTTGCATCTAGGGGTGGAAGTGGTGGCAAATTATTATAAAAGACCCTGTAAAACAGTATGTAAAAACTGTCTTAAGAAATTTGTTTCTTATTCTGAATGAGGTATGGAGCCACTAGCTGGTTTTAAGCAGAGGATGAATATGAACTGACTCCTATTCTGACAAGATCACTTGGGCTGCATTGGTGAAAACAGATAATAGGGAGGTAAGGGAAGATCAGGGAAGCCATTATAGTAGGGCACAGTATCAGATTATTTTCTCCAAGTTTTTAATTTTGTATACATGTAGATTATATTATAAACTTAGTTCTTATCAATATTTGTTATTACTTCTTTAAGGTGAAAAATAAAAGGAAAACAAAAAATTTTATCTTTGTCGAAGTAGTCTTTCAGTAATCTCAGATTAAGACTATTACGTTTAAGATTTATAAATAATAGATATAATACATTGTTGTCTTAAAATTAGCTACAAGATTAAAGTTTCTATCTTACATCCTGGTTTTTTTTTTCCTGTTATGTTAGTAGGAAAATAATCCTCTTGGAAAAAAATTAATTGGAAGATATGGATGTGGTCTAGATAGATCTGAGGAAGAAGATTAGAATTCAGAACATTAACATCCAGCTTTAATTACATGTATGGTAACTTTGTTGTGTTTCATAATAATGAAGAAAGTGCGAAAATGATTTTTCACTGAGCATCCACAGTAGAAAATCAAAATACAGAGAACTCAGTCCATTTTCACTATCTCTAATGGAGCGTGTCCTATACGAGATTTCAATGTATAAGTCAAAGAATTGCTCTATTAGCAGCATCTAGTGATTCAGGAAGCCAGAATAGATAATAATACTTTCTTGTGAAGATTTTATTAACTTGTAATAATGAAATTCTTTGTAGTCACAGTATTTTGACTTGGCATATCATCTCTTCAGAGCCACACTGAGATGTTTGAATCAAAATTATCCTGGTATATATTCCAGATCTCTTCTGTTTTGCTATCTACTGAGCATTGCATTGATGTCAAAGTACTATTAGTTTTTGTTTGTCCTTTGGTTTTTCAAACTTAAGACATTGAAGTTATTCATTAAACTTGTTCATATTCTAACCACATCAATCCTGGGTATGTGGAATCAGATTATAACTCCAAAGTTTATTAGTGGATTTACTGGAATGAGTGAATGCATTCTGATAATTCAGTTTAATCAAAAAGATCTATATTGATAGAATACTCAAGATGAGTTGGTTAGGTGAGATTTTAGAATAAGTTCACTGCTTTGGTGAATGGATACTTTTAAAATACAAAAAGAAAAAGAAATGGATTAAAATTTTGAGTGATTAGTAGAACTGTTGGAGGAAGCATACTTATGAATATATATTGACCAAAGCACAATTAAGTGGAATAGCATTGAGATAAAATCATAAATAGTCACCTGACAGTATGTACAGGTCAAGTAGGAAAAATACTGTCATAACCAAGAAGAGTAAAATAGAAGCCAACAATTTGACAAGTATTACTTGGAAGCATTTGAGAAATAAAATAGCTAAAGAAGTAATTTGTCATGGTCAGGTCTTAAGGATAGTGGATCTGAGGAATATAGAGAGAATGGAATTGATCAAAATAATTATGAGATTTTGTTTATGAATGTAGATGTTTGAATTATTTATAACCAGAAAGGCAGGGCTATGTCAAAAGCAATGCTTGTTGTGCAGATCTCAACACACTAGGGATCCATAGAGGAAACGACCACTGCCCTGTTACTCTGGATGCCCAGGCCACAGCATGAGTCTCTGGCAACAGGAGTAACATTCTGTAATAGTTCAACCACAGGACCACACAATTACATGTTTGGGGATATTTTGTCAACTTTTTTTTTAACCTTTATAGCCAAAAATAGGGGACTTTTTCCCATTTCTTAAAGATGGTGTAACTAGAAATTGGAACTTTATTTCCAGGAACAAGATAGGGAAGAGCAAGAGCATTTATAGGGAACAAAGAAAATTGTGTTTTTGTATGTATGTGCACAGATGTGATTTGTCTTTCAGTTCTAATATTAGTTGCTATTAATGACAGTTTATTTGGCTACTGAGATTTAAGATGCTACCTTTAGGATCCATTACTGTAGGTAAATTTTTTTTGAAATTATTTTGAGTCATTGAAACAAAGTTTACAAGATTAATCTAATAGACATATAATTAGAAAATGCATAGTTTTTTCTAGTACATGTGGAGACTTCCAAAAATTGAGTATTCTATTAGTCCATAAGGAGAGTTGCAAAAAAAAGTCAGAGTTGATGTCATGTAGACAACATTCTCTGTCTATAGTATAATAAAGTTACTTATCAATTATGAAAATATTAAAAGAAAAAACCCAAATCCATATGTTTGGAAACTAAAAATACTTCTAAGTAAGTCATGCCTCAAAAAAACGAATTCTAAGAAATCGTGAAATAATTTAAACTTGAATGACAACTGGGTTGCTATGTATCAAAACTTGTGTAATGTAGCAAAAAGTTTTTGAGAGCAGTAAAATGATATAGCAGAAATGAAAATTGAGAGGCCAAAGACTGGACTCAACAATGATTCTGTTCTTTTTCTTTTAACATAAGAAAGAAAATTACAAAAAGTAGGGCAAATTTATTTTTTTAGGGGGGGAGGGACAGAGGATGGAGGGAGAGAGAGAATCGTAAGTAGGCTCTACACCCAGCATGGAGCCTGATGCAGCGTTCGATCTCATGACCCTGAGTGCATGACCTAAGCTGAAATCAAGAGTCAGATGCTTAACCAGCTGAGCCACTCACATCCCCCCACAGCAAATGTTTAATGAAAGAAAACAGATAATGGCAAGGATCAGTTAAAACAAAAGCTGATTTTTAAAAAAAGAATTATAGACAAAGCTATTATAGGAAGGATGATGAAAGAGAAAGCACAAATAAAAATATCAAGAATTAAAGAAATAACTATGGACATAGGAAATATTTAAAAATAATCAGAAGGGAATACTAGGAGATGTTTTTGGCAATATCTTTCTAAATACAGATAAATTGACCATTTTGTTTAAAATATAAATTATCAATATTGAATCAAGAATAAGTAGAAAAATACAGCATAGGGAATTTAAAAAAAAATAGAAAACAAATATACATAACTTATCCCGAAAATGGCCATTTCTCTCTAGTAATTAATGAAATCAGTTGATTTTTAATCAGAATCTTAATGGGGTTTTTAA